TTTCGTTCAAAAGATGTTACCGTAATCGCTTTTCGAATGGTTTTCAGTTGTGGGATTATAAGGCTAATGATAGGATAGAATATTATTGTAATACAGTACGAGTACAACAGTTTTTTAACTGAAAACCATTCGAAAAGCGATTACGGTAAAATCTTTTGAATAACGAAAGAAAGCGAAAGTCATTGTTTTCATGATTTTATCCCACTTTCCACTGTAATATGTATGTCATTCCAGCAAAAATATTATATTTCCAAATTTATTTCTGAGAATACCTATATTCATTCAGTCACAGTTAAGGTAAAATATACTACGGTATCGTAGTTTTCTTTTGTTTCAAATTTAATTAAGAAAGATTGACGTTTCAAATGTAATGAACAAAAATTTATGTACAGTATCTATAAATAAACTTTAATAAATGAATACTTTGTTTTACATTGTCCTGTGCTACCATACCATGGATTTGGCTACTTTGGGCTTGCTATGATGACGCAAGAGATCTGCCCTGGCAACTGTACCGACACTCACAGCTGGTGGTGCGTTGGTGCATCGTTTCCATTGTTTACTGGTAGTTACTGGTAAATATTTTTCAACCTAACGAAACTATTACCGTATATCTCGGCCTATAAGGCGTCAGGGTGCATAAGACGGCCCCCCCCCCAAATTTCCATTTAAAAAGTAGCTTTTGAGCTCTATTCGCTGTATAAGACCAGTACCCCAAATGTGACACTTACCCACTGACTCAGTAGTCCTTTACCAACCATCCTTGGTTTTTTAAAATAAGGCCAATTCACTTCAAGTAATGTCATCAAATGTTGCCCGCTGGTGTAGTGTAAACACTAGTGACGTCACTGAAGCGTCTGCTATTTACCAGTAACTGGAACTAATGTCTGTGTCGAGTAAAGTTTTTCCATTTACTTGAAATAAATAAATAAATAAATAAATAAATAAATATATATATATATATATATATATATATATATATATATATATATATATATATATATATATATATATATATATATATATATATATATATATATATATATATATATATATACTCATCTATAACCCCCCTCGTTTATAGGTCGACCCTGATTTCTTGACCAAGAAATCGTTAATTTATGATATTCCTAGCTTATAGGTCGACCCACGTTTTTGAGGGTAATGGAACAAACAAAACCTTCAGTAAAAACGCTCTACGTCCTATAAACTGAGGCTCACCGTGCCCGAAACACCGAGTGCGGAAGGCAAATTGTTTACCATTTATTATTACGACACGACACTTTACACCACTTTACACTGAAACGTGGGTAGTTTCAACAAAAATATTGTATATTTCCATTCAAGTATTTATTCAAGTCAATTAGGAGGGAATATTATTGTAATACAGTTTCTTAACTAAACCATTCGAAAAGCGATTACGGTAACATCTTTTGAACGAAAGAAAGCGAAAGTCATTGTTTTCGTCACAATTTGATCCCACTTTCCACTGTAATACGTACGTAATTTCAGCAAAAATATTACATTTCCGTGAATGTATTATATCAAGCACAGTATGAATATCATATCATTGTAATATAACAGAAAATTAACCGAAAACTATTAAAAAAACGAGTAACATCTCAAGAACATCGGAAGCTTAGGTAAAGTCTTTTGTTTTCGTCATGTATTTTATCCTATTTTACATTGAAATACATCACGTTTCAGCAAAACTACTATTTATTTCCGAGAATATATTCATTCAGGCGCAGTTTAGGTAAAATTTACGTGTGATGTAATAATTTTTTAACTGAAAATGATTCAAAAAACACGTACCCTCTAGCCCTGTTCAAGGAGAGGACTGGGAGAAGCTGTTTGGTGCTGCAGACGATGAAAAGGAAAATGATTTTGATGGATTTTAATGAAAATATTCAGAAATATGGTATCGTGGTATTTATTCAAGTCAATTAGGATAGAATATTATTGTAATACAACAGTTTTTTAACTGAAAACCATACGAAAAGCGATTACGGTAACATCTTTTGAACGAAAGAAAGGGAAAGTCATTGTTTTTGTCACGATTTTTTCCCACTTTCCACTGTAATACGTATGTCATTTCAGCAAAAATATTACATTTCCGTGAATGCATTATATCAAGCACAGTATGAATAGAATACCATTATAATATAACAATATTTTGAGTCCTACTCTTTCCATTTACAGAATACTGTACAAGCCCATAATAATGGCTCCTAAAGTAGATAAACTTCGTTGTGTGAAGAGAAAGAAGAACACGTTGAAATTGAGTGACAAACTTGAAATAATTAAGAAACTAGAACATGGTGTGAGCAATACTGTTCTAATGGAAACATACGACATTGGAAAGTATACAATTTATGATATAAAAATGGCAAAGAATAAAATTCTAGAATTCACAGTTTTTTCATTAAAACTGCTCGTTTTGACAAATGAAGCATGTTATATTTGCTAATGAATAAACTATCAAAATGTACCTGTTCATCTCTTTTTTATTCCTCCTTAAATTTGAATTTTAAAAGTACTGCCTGAGAATCCGGAAAATCCGAAAATCCGGACCAACCCAATCCCCAAGCAGTCCGAATTTTTGGACTTCTAATGTACGTCATTTCAGCCAAAATATTACATTTCCATATTTATTTCTGAGAATATATTCATTCAGTCAGAGTTAAGGTAAAATATACTTGTGATGTAATATTTTAATGAAAATACGGTAACGTAGTTTTCTTTTGTATCAAATTTAATTAACAAAGATTGATTTTTCAAATGTAATGAACAAAAATTTATGTACAGTATCTATAAATAAACTTTAACAAATGAATACTTTGTTTTACATCGTCCTGTGTATACCATACCATGGATTTGGCTACTTTGGGCTTGCTATGATGACGCAAGAGACTGCCCTGGCGACTGTACCGACACTCACAGCTGGTGGTGCGTTGGTGCGTCGTCCATTGTTTACTGGTAGTTACTGGTAAATATTTTTCAACCTAACGAAACTATTACCCTTTTAGAGGTCGACCCCCAATTTTTTGCAAAATAATTTGGTCTTAAAAACTCGAACTACACACAGGTATATACGGTAAATAAGGACATGGGGAGCCAGGGTTTTTTAGGGGGGGCAGCAATAGTACACGGATTTTTAACATTCACGGGTATCTCTGTTCCGTAACTCCCGCGTATGTTAAGGGCCGACTGTATTTTGTTTACTCTGAGTAAATATGTTATCTTTTGTGCAAAATATATGACATTTATATTCAAAATATTCCTGGTCTTACAAGGAATCCAGCAATGTCAATTATATTATCCTAACTTAGTCTGAGGTATTATTTATTACTAAAAAGGTAAATATTCTGGTTTCTCCCACACATTTCTCTGGTAGGGAGGGTTGGTGGGGGGAGGGGGGAGGGGGGAGGGGGGGACCGACCGACCATCTGGCGCGGTTGGAAGAGGGGGGGAGGCAAGGTGGGGTACTTTGATTGACAGTGTCGTGAAGAATATTATTTTTTTTTATTAACTGAAGATATTTGTTTTAGCTCATAAAATCATACAAATTACCCGGCCAGAAAAAAATTTACATTGCTGGAATTCTTACAATTTGATGATCATTTTGAATATAAACATCATAGATTTTGCATTAGACATACAAATTTTAGATCTAATGTAAGTATTTTGTTTACTCTGAGTAAATATATTATCTTTTGTGCAAAATATATGACATTTATATTCAAAATATTCCTGGTCTTACAAAGAATCTAGCAAATGTCAATTATATTATCCTAACTTTAGTTTGAGGTATTATTTATTACTATACCTTAAAATCTAGTGGTTTTCCCCAAAAAATTTCTCAGAGAGGGAAGAGCCAGCGAGTGTAGTGTGAGAAGAGGGGGAGGGAGTTGAGTCCATTATTTGAATGGACATTAACTTGGCGACTGTATTTCTCTATTTCTCTTAAGTATTAATTGTGTGCATGTACCATCATAAAATTAAGATGTTATTTTTACTAGAACATAGGTATTGTGTTGGAAAAAGTGGAGTTTGGGGGTCAGCTGGCCTCTATTTCATTTAATCCCATATGTTATGTTGTTCACTTTACGCGTTTCTCGTGGGTTCAATTGACCGCGTAAAGTGAGGGTTCACTGTATATACAATACAGTATTAACATATTTCCAACAGAACTCGAGGATAACCTAAAAGAGTAGCAACCTTGCCTAGACAGCTAAGAGGACACTTGGAAATCCTACATATAATGCAGAGTTTCCATAAAACTTGGCTCAAATGTGATCACTAACTTCACCTATTTGTGGGAAACATGAAAAACTCATTGAAATAAAAATGTCTTCTGCTGTGTTGACTCAATGAAATTCAATACTGTACAGTACAAAAGTGAAGGATAAATAATTTTGTAACTCAAACAAATTTAGGTTCAAATCACAAATCTAGACACACGAGAACTGGGTTTCTACCGAGAAATTTGCAGAGTTGCTGAGTTGAAGATATAAAGTAAAAAATGAGGAGTTCATCTTTACATAAGTAGGATGGACTACTTTTCTAATCTCTCACCAATATGGCAAGACCATAAAGAAGAGAATTAATGAGTTAATAACCAACTTAGGGAAATTTATCTACACCCAGCTGTGCAGATTAGCAGTGTTAGGCAGCCTGGAAGTGCCCGGACAATGATTTTTCATGTCCGTGTGCTCGGTACTTGCCTGGAGAACAAGTTAATATTTTAAGCGGAAAATTCTTAGATGGCAATTTGTCAAGTGCTTTGTGGCCCCCACCTCCCCCGTACATGTTTAACCAGTGAGGGTGACGTGTGTGTGTGTGAGTGTGTTTGACCTGATCCCGGCCCATAACTCTTATTTTTAAACTGAAAATCTGTATAAAAGCTCCCACTGATTGTTGTATAAGCAGAGTTGTGCTACAAATTACTATGAAAACATCAACAAGAATAAGAACCAAGGATAACTGACTGGGTTAGGGTAGAGTACAATGTTTATTTCTGTTTTCCCATAAAATAAAATAAAAATTAAAACAAACCTGGCCAACAAATTAAATCCAAGTAAAAAAAAATATGCGGACAAGTACACTTCGTAAATCAAGTGCCTGGGAAAAGTAAATGTCACACATAATCAGCTCAGACTGTTCAACACCCAATTAGAAATTTTTCTATTACTCTGCATCAACTTACTGACACACTACTAATATTTACCTTTCCCTTACTTACCGGTAAGTGTTCTGTCAGGTGTACAAATCAGACAATATAGTAACAAGACGATTGTGAGATCCTGTATCAAGTAATTGTTCCTGCAGTTGGCCCACAAGTTTGGGTTCTCTTGAACGCACAGCTCTTAAAAACAATTGCACTTCATGAACATGGCATTCATTTAGTGTTGTTAGCACTGCACGTAGGTCAGGGCAGCAGCGTACCACACGAACACAATAATCAATTAAACTATCCACTATGCTTCTTAATTTTGCACTTACATCATTATTTCCAGGAGAGTCATCTTTACACATGGAACTAGTACCACTGTCCCCACAAATACTACTACTACCCTCATATACTACTTTCTCTAACGGAGTAGTACTATCACAAATCTCTCTTTTATTTTTGTCGTAACTCGCATCGCTACTCTCTGTATTTTGAAGTGTTACTTCCTTACAATCACTCTCTTTATTTACAACACTACTATGTACTCCCTCCCCCACTAACTCCCTTTGTTTCTGCTCCACTACAGGATTATCTGTTTCCATGTTTTCTTCCTGTGAGGTTCTGCTCCTTCTGCTTCTACTTCTGCTGATTCTCCTCCGTCGCATCTTAGAGCTCTGGTTCTCGGCTTTGTTTTTTTCGCTTGGGTCTTGTAAAGCCTGATAACAAAAATCAACTTAAAACATAATGTAACAGACTAGAATGAGAGGAAATTTCATTATATCGGAGGGTCTATTAGATGTGAAACCTCCCATCTAACAGACTATGTGGAGAGAGAAGTCTAACACACTCACACACACACACGTGCTCCCCTACTTACGACTGCTTCAACTTACGTCCATCGGTACTTACGACCTGCTCTGACCTTACGACCATCGGGACATACGACCGCGGCAGTCGTGACCAAAATATTTTCAATTGACGTGCACATTTTCTATACCGAAACATTTCCGTCCCGGGCGAGAGCGTGGCGCAGCTTGGGTCGCCGTGTGGGTACACTCACTCAGTGGAGCGCTTTGTTAGTGTTTGGCTATCGTATACAGTGACCCCTCGTTTAACGAACACCTCGGTTAACGTAATTTCGATTAACGAACTGCCTTCCATAAGGATCTTCAATTCGGTTAACGAAAAAAAATTCGGTTAACGAAGTTCTTACGAACCGACCTCAACATGTTTTCACTTGCACTGACCGGGCAACCAGCTTTAATATCAGTCTGCCAATACATAAATCGGTTCTAGGGCTTAAATTCCTTAATATTTTAGTAAATATCAAGAAGTTTATACTATTCAATAATTTTAAAAGTTTAATATTCAATTTTTTAGTCATTTTAACAATTATTGAACATAACTGAAGGTAAAGTGACAAGTTTATGGCGTGCCATCCAGCCTCTTAACACAGCAAACAGGAGTTAGTCTCTCTCTGTTTTCACTGGAGGTAACATCTTGCTTGAGACTCTCTTCAACTAAACGCTTTTTTTCTGTGTTTCCAGGCAAATTATTGGTCATTTTGAAATATATTTTACATATTGACAATATATAGTGCAGTGCAGTGTTGATTTAAAGAAAATTATCTTGAATTACACCAAGAGAGCTAAAATTTTATGGGTGAAATGGTGCCATGGGGTGACTTCTCTTCCACCCCAATGCCTTCTCTTCTTCCTTCTCCTCCACCCCCATTCTAAATCCCATCATCATCATCATCATCCAGGAGCCTTCTACATACACACCTCAAAGTAAGTGAACTTTTCTACCATTTTTGTTGAATTTAGGAAATTTTTGGTGAGCTGGAACCAATTACCCAAAAACCCATTGAAACAATGGTTTCGGTTAACGAACTTTTCGGTTAACGAACGACCTTCTGGAACGGATTGAGTTCGTTAACGGAGGGGTCACTGTACTATACTGATCGTGCTGTAAACTTTCGTTATTATCGTATTTAATTGACTTTATAATGACTGGAAAGCGTAAAAGTGAGAGTGCTGGCGGTGCTCCAAAGAAAAGGAGACAAGCAATTACTTTTGAGATGAAAATGAAGATAATAATGCAGCATGAGAATGGAAAAACTGTAGCAACAATCTCAAGCGACCTAGGTTTCTCACACTCGACTATATCCACTATTCTGAAGGTTAAGGAATGTATTTGTGATATAGTGAAAGGAACAACACCTATACTGGTGTACTAATATGGTTCCATAGGGGTTGTTTCCATTTTCCCGTGTGATTTTATCAAGATTTATCTTATCCACGTTTTCATTGTGGATTTACATGAGATATATATATATATATACACACAGTCATGCGCCGGTTAACGTCCTAGATACGTTCTTGGAAACGTGACGTTAACCGAAATGGAAGTTGTCCGATCATCACATAAGCTTTTTATTTATATTTACGTGTATGTGGAATACTATATACGTACATATACACTTTTACTCTTAAATCACTACTGTAATGTGATACAGGTGATTAATTTTAGCTCTTGTGCAAAATACATGACGTTTATATTAAAATTATTCACTGTTTTACAAGGATTCCAGCAATGCTGGGCAGTTGGGGGGGAGAGGGAGGGAGGGAGGGAGGGAGGGAGGGAGGAGGGGAGGTAGTACGTTTGACAGTTGGCACAGGCCCAGGTCTAACACGTGTACCTGTATATTTATCAGTTCTTAAGTGACTAAGCTTCTCTCTTATAAAAAGCCAGTGACAAGACCTGGTGTGAATATAATTAACATTGTTGGGATTCTTGTAAGATACTGATTAATTTGAATATAAACATGCTATAATTTGCACTAGACATAACAATTTTAGTACCGTAATCAAATTAGTACATGTGCACTCCAGCTTTGCACTAAGGTCATTTATTTCTTTTACGTTTCTTTTAGTATGGTGTGTGTATGTAAATGGATGAAAATAAATGAAGAAATTTATGTAAATCTACCCAAAAATGCAATTGAAAAAATTTATATTATAAATGTACTACAGTACTGTACACTAATGTACAACAATTTTTACCTCTTGAGCAAAATATATGACGTTTATATTCAAATTATTGGCTGTCTTGCAAGGATTCCAGCAATGCAAATTGTAATCTCCTAACTTTAGTCCGAGATATTATATAAGATAAAAACTGTAAGCCTAAATAAACCCCTGGCTGAGCAGATGGGGGAGGGAGGGACCGAGCCAGTGAGGGGTGGGAGGGGGGGGGTGGGGGATTGAGGTGATATGTTTGACAGTTTGAGCTGAAGGTCTCTGTGTGTTTATTTAACAGTCCTACTAAGCTTCTCTCATTTTAAAATGCCAGTGAAATGACCTAGGAGAATATAATTAACATTGCTGGGATTCTTGTAGGATACTGATTTATTTGAATATAAACATGCAGTAATTCGCACTAGACATAACAATTTTAGTACCTTAATCAAATTAGTACATGTGCACTCCAGCTTTGCACTAAGGTCATTTATTTCTTTTACGTTTATTTTAGTATGGTGTGTGCATGTAAATGGAAGAAAATAAATGAAGAAATTTATGTAAATCTACCCAAAACACAGTTGAAAAAATTTATATTATAAATGTACTACAGTATTGGACACTAATGTACTACATTGTTTATATCTTGAGCAAAATATATGATGCTTATATTTAAATTAATCTCTGTCTTGCAAGGATTTCAGCAATGCAAATTATATTTTCCTAACTTTAGTCTGAGATATTATATAAAATAAACATAAAGAAATCACCAATCTTTTGTCTGGGAACACGAGGACGGAAGTAGCCAGGAGCTTGGGGGAAGAGGGGGGGAGCAGGGTGGGGGGAGGGGGCAGGAGGTGAGGTGACAGAATGTCTGGAGTTTGTTTGTTTGTTTATTTATTTGAGATAAGATTTGACAGTTGGCGCTGAAGGCCTGCCTGCGTGTTTATTTAGCCTGCCTGCGTGTTTATTTATCATTACTTAAGAGTGACTAAGCTCTTCTCATAATTTGCCACCCAAACGACCTGGGTGAATATAACTTACATTGGTGGGATTCTTGTAAGAAAGTAACTTATTTGAATACCTGTATAAACAAGCTATATTTCCAATAGATATAACAATTTTAGTACCGTAATCATTTAGTACATGTACAATACAGGTTTGCACTTTGGTCCATTGTTACTGTACAATATTGACTGAATTCACTCGATAACGTACGCCTGGCAGCACACTCTATAAGAATATGCGATGCATACGTGACTGTGCCCGCTCTATGGCCATTTAGGTTTGCTACGTCCCATTATTTGAATGTTTTTTTTATTTTTCAATTTAAATTTTAATTGTTTATTCCTTGATAGAGGAAGCGGGATCCTAGTGCTGTCACTTGGTACCCCTGTACCATAACACCAGAAGCAACTGGCCAGTGTCACAAGTATATACAGTACAGTACAGTCATCCCTTGGTTATCGCGCCTAATTGGGACCCCGCCGATAACGAAAGTACAGAACCTATGGGATTTATTCTAATTGGTTCAGGCACCCAAGACCCAACCCCAAGTTTCCCATTTTACGACCATTTAGACCCACTAAATATATATATAATGTTATGGTAAATATCATAAACACACATAGGCATGGCTAGGTTTATTACAAAGTGATGAAAAGGGTACGCTTAATACTGTAGTCCACAAAACATGTAGCTATGCTTTTTTTATTTGGTCCCCCATCATACGAGTCCGTTTTCTCTCACATCAGGACGCCTGAGTCCTCCGTTTTCTCTCTTAATCTTAGAGTGCACCAGAGACTTTGCTATTCTTAGTAATGCCACAGAATTTGAAATTGCAACCCCAATTGCAACTGGGGTTGCAATTGTTGAGGCAACTAGATATGTCTGATTACAGCAAATGTGTTATTGTCAATTTGTAGGTGAAAGATTTTATCCTCAATAGATGTAGGTTAACATTACACCTGGAGGCAAATGCTTAAAAAAGCCTAAGTAGGAAGCATATTCCTTTAACACATAATATCTGACCAGTATGGGGAGGATCATCGTGTCTCGTCAGGGGGTTGTGGAGTGGTGGTCCAGCAGGCGTCACTAAGTTTTTTTGTTGGGGGGCCATGGACGTATATGCGATCGGACATTGTTCGGTCGGACGTTAACCGGCGCGACATATATATATATATATATATATATATACATATATATATATATATATATATATATATATATATATATATATATATATATATATATATATATATATATATATATATATATATATATATATATATATATATATATAATATATAATATATAATATATAATATATAATATATATATATTTATTTCCTTGTCAGAAGCAACCCCTATGGAACCATATTAGTACACCAGTATCTTAATATCTAACATAATGATCCACTAAACTCATTTACAATTCAAAATTAAGGTGAGCCCAGGACAGTAATAAGGTTATAACAAATATAATAAACCTATTCATACCTGGTTATGTATTGCAGTGTAGTGATGACTTGCTTCTTGAGTGAGGGCCAACAATTTTCCCACAGTCAGTAATATGTTTGGATGTCTCATAGTTGGCACCAGCAGCTCACTCAGACCCAAGGCATACGTCAGCCTTTCTGCACTCTCCCCTTCTAGCAGCTCATCAACACTTTCCACCTTGGCCAAGTGCTCAACATAGCTCACCAAGATGGGCTCCAGGAGGGACTCATACCGGTCAAAACTGCCTGAAGGTTAACCAATACACTTTATATCTAAAGCAAGACAATCAATTCTTTAATGATTAAAGCAAATTACTGTGGTCCTTTTTCACAGATTCTGAAATTTCCCATCTTTAATGAGATAAAAAGATGTAGACTGCTGCTACAACTGCCAGGCATTGGTAGGGATGTTTGAATGAAAGTACTGTACCTTGTAGGCCACTATGTCCCTTGGCTATCAAATGGAATGTCATACTGTATTCATCTAATATTTAATTCAAAATTTGTCAGCTGCCAGGACAACAATACTGTGAACTTACTTATGATGTCCACTGCAGGTGTGGCCACAAAGCTGTAAAGAATAAGAACACCCCGATGAACAATCTTCGGCAGCTCCTGGCCACTGCTTTTCTCCCACTGCTTCAAGAAGTGTCTAATCACCTCCACAACACCCTCAACCAAACCTGAAATAATTTCATTCTTCAGTTGTAAGAAAATCCTTTTTGAATCATTTCCAGTAAGTTCTTTACAAACTAGACAGGTTAGTCCAGTGCATAGCTCTCTCACTAGTCAGCGTCTGCACCACGCCAGTGTTGACATCAGCACAGAAGCTCTAAAATAACGCTGGAGTAGTTGGGGAGATGACCAGGAATATTGGAGGCACTGAAAACCTGGCCTATAGTATGGACCCTCCATGGTAATACGCGCCCTGAAATTCACAGGGATGGATGACGTTTTGCTCCATACAAAAAACATTAAGTAGGGCGCCAAATGAAAGAAAGAGACAACTCCCCATTACCATGTTCTTTGATCACCGGCAGGAGAGATTTAACACCATCAATCACTGGCCACAGTGAGGAAGCAGTTGAATCCACAGTCGCCTCTAATTCACCACCCGTTATGGAATTGAGTGACGATGAGCTCCGATGACTCGCCCTGTCGCCGAGGAGAGGTACGGCACAGTAAAGGAAATTTTTATCTCTTTTTTTTAATAGCTTTTCTTGCTATGTTTGGTTGCTTCTGTAAAGGCACAGCACAGTACAGTTCAGTACTGTACATGGTGGAAGTGAGGCAGTTATTCACAAAACATTTGTTTATGTCGCAGTAGTGACGGTGAGGAGGTGGAGGAGGCGGAGGGAGGGAGCTTAGTTGGGAGGAGGGTGACCAGGACGGAGCAGGGACGGAGTGGAGATACAAATAGTACATTTCGGTGTATTAATTGTTTTAGCTATTTTTGCATTTAATATTAAAATACTGTACATTACGTTTCAACAAAAACTACTTTTACGAGTTTCAAAAACATGGAAATGTAATATTTTGCTAAAATGATGTAATGACATATGGAAAGTGGATAATTGTGGATGCAAGCAATGGTGACTCTGCTCAAAAGATGTTGCCGCAATTGCTTTTGAATGATTTCAGTTAGGATTATATACACGATAGGATAGAATATTATTGTAATACAGTACGAGTAAAATAAGTTTTTAACTGAAAACCATTCAAAAAGCGACACAGTAAAATCTTGAACAATCTAAAGAAAGCTGTTGGTTGTTTTTCAAGTATGATTTTATCTTCTTCACTGTAATATGTACGCTATTCCAGCAAAGATATTATATTTCCAGTTATTTAGATTTAAATGGCCGTGATATTCACTCAGTCGATATATAAAAGTTATACGATGTAAATATTTAATGAAAATATGGTATCGTAGTTTCTTTTGTTTCAAATTTTAATTAACAAAGATTAATGTTTCAAATGTAATGAAAAAAAAATTTATGTACAGTATCTATAAATGCTAATTTTAATAAATGAATACTTTTATGTTTTACATCGCCTGTGCTGCCTGGCATTTGGCTACTTTTGGGCTTTCATATGATGACTAGAAGAGATCTGCCCTTGGTAACTACCCGTCACTCAGCTGGTGGTGCGTTGGTGCATCGTTTTCCATTGTTTAATGGGGTAGTTACTGGTAACATTTTTCAACTGGGTCTGAAATTATTGTCTTTAGACGACTTCAATTTTTGCCAAATAATTTGGCCCAAAAGCTCTAACTACACACACAGATATATACGTAAATATGACATGGGGGGTTGTGGGAAGGTTTTTTTTTAGGGGGAGCATGACGTAAACATCCACGGTATTCTGTTACGAACCCCCGCCAGATGTTAAGGGCCGACTGTAATATATTTTTTGAGTAAACTGGCTGACTGGATAGATGCGACTGTACTGAACTGTACTGTATCAGCCAAATTGTACTGTACTGTACTGAAATGCTCGAACTGAAATCTGAACTGAACTGTTCTGGTGTACTGAATTGTACTGTACTGCATCAGGTACTGTTTCAGTACTGTACTGCAATTCCTAGCCTCAAAATTGTACTGCTCTACACTGTACTGCACTGTACTGAAACAGCCTTGCACTGACTTAAAAATTATATTCCGATACAATAAAAAATTCCCCAATCTGAAAACTATTTTTATTAAAAATAAATTGGTGAATGGTAAAAATTGGGGGTGACCATGAAATCTCTTCTTACAGGCAGTGAAAAACAAATGGTCTGGTATATTACAATAATATTTTGTCTAAGATACAGACCCACTTTCTTCTAAGGTTTTGATTATAGTGGCCAGACTACCTCAAATTGTATTTATTCTACCACCCCAGAGGAGGCTTATTATTTTATAACTAACTAATAAACAATTTGAATAAAATCAAATATATTTTTATCGAGTTGAACAGTGATCTTCTGATAAAACATCTTTTTAGTGAAATTGTCCCTCCAAGACCTTATAATCTGGCCATTTTCAAAGTTTATAAGGCATTCCTTAGACTTTTCCTATTATTATTTTTTTTTCCTCTATTTACCAAAACCCTTGCCTTATCCAGCAAGTACAACTGTGTAAGAGAAGATAATTCAACCTCAATTAACTGACTATGTGGAGAGGAAAATCTGTTATATTGAGGGTCCGTTAGATTGTATGGAGAGAGAAGTCCGTTATATGGAGGTTTCATAAGTACAGTGGTCTCTCGGTTAAATAAACGGTTCGACACGAAATAGCTCCCATAAGGATTTCTTTCAGTTCCATTAACGAACTAAACTTCGATTAATCTAAAACTTCATTTACAAACACGTTTTGTTGTGCGATCAACCGATCAAGTAGTCCGCCATCACAGTAACCTGTCTCTATGTTTACATTCGTTTCAGTGAAGCAAATATCGGTTAAAAGTTGGTCTCTTGAATATTTCTGCATTTTTTATATATTAAAATTGATAGGTCATTCTGAAATTTTAGTTAACATAATATATTGAGGACAGTGTTGGTGAAACAGCGTTTTTGTGCGCCTATCAGCCACCCTTTCGAAGTCCGCCTACCAACGCTTCAGTTAACTTTGTTTACAGGGAGGAACATCAGATTTGCTGGTTCTTGAAGAGTTTTTGTATTTTACATTTAAAATTACATATTATCTGAAATTAATAACATAATATTGATAATAATATACAGTGCAGAAATTATTATGAAAACATGAAGAAAGGTATTAGAACCAACAATGCACTCTGTAAAGAATATCAATCTATCGCCTCTACAAATTGACGCTGTTTGATAAACAAAGCTGCTGCAATATGACATACACACCTCAAAGTGTTAAAATACAGTATTCTATTGTTTTTTATTTATTATTGCGTACAGAATACTGTATAAAAAGTACTGTATTTAGGGCAATTTAATGTTTATGGCTCTAGTATCGGTATAGTGATCCTCGTTAACGAGCACCTCGTTAAACGTAAATTTTGGTTAATAACATCAAGATTCTTTTTCACCGCGAACGAGCAAACCCCTAAAGAACGAATTCCTTGTACTAATTTTTCTCCCAACATAAAGCCGCCTCGCATTTGGCTGTCCACCAGCGCTGAAGTATTAGTCCGCCAAGGAGGAATACCACGGTCGAATACTAGCACCAAAAATCAAATGATTCATATTACGCCAATAGCCCACAAACATAATTCTTGTTTTTGTTTTGAGTCCCATCCAGAGTCCTGGTTTTTTCATCACTTCAAAGATGCCTCAGTCCTCCTGCCATCCATTTCTTTCTCTGATTCTGCCTGAACCAACCTCTATAAATGTAATTTTGAATGTGGGTGAGGAATAACTTTAATGGTCAACTTAGATATGTCTACTATGCTGAAACATTCAAGATCCATTGTGAGGGAAAGCTTTATTTTCCAACTGTCCTGATGCTAGCCAAGATCGCACTATGGGTGGAGTGCTGAAAGCCCTACAGGACAAAACGCTACCCATCGGCTTCCTTTGCCTCTCTAAGAATACCCACAGTTTCGACACCGCTACCAAAGAGTAAGATTTTGAAATGCCTCCCACATCAGAGAACTTGATGTTTTGTAGTTTAGTTAAAATAGCTGTCTATTTAAGAAAGTCAATAATTTCCTGAATTATTCTGTCAACCGTATAATCTCCAAAGACCCAAACCTTCCCAGAACAGGTCCTTGTCATTTCAGGCCTGGTTTGCGAATTGATGTTATCAATCGCATATTCCAATCTTTTCCCTGGCAAGCTCAAACTCTGATTAGATTGATATGAATAGACATAGAATATTCTGATCAGGAACACCCGGAGTCTGGCATAATTAAGTATACGCGGACCCGTAAAAATGGTAGAGAAGGTATGTTGTTGCAAGATTTAATCTTTCTAAGAATAATATGGAGGTCCAGGTGCATCGTGATATACTTTATTAACGAGGAACGCCTCATCTGACTCCTTCCTCACCCAGATTCCGTTCACTGCAGTTCCCCATTACATTAATTCAGCCTGACTTAATGACTTTGTGAATTTACTGAATTGTTTTAACATAAAATCTCTTGCGCCAAATTAAGTCAAGTAAAAAGTAGAGTCTCTAGCTATCGCCTGAACCCAAGTGACGTGATAAGTTTTTGAAAAAGAAGTTGAAGAATTATTGAGGCATCGCGACCTTTTCCTCACAGATTCCAGGCCAGTGAGTGGATATCGCATCGCTACCGGTCGGTAGCCAGCTAACGGAGTGCTGCTAATTCACAGGATTAAACCAAAGTCTTTTCTGCAAATCAGCGGCAGCCCCTTGGCGCAGGTCGTGTACAACTGACCTCTGATGATCTTCACGAAAGAGATACTGGGATATATACCCCGAGGCACTCAGCACGGCCTAAGCATGATAGATCTTGATTTGCGGGATTAACTAACAGATGGAAATCCCAGGTTGCCGGAAAGAAACCATAAAATGTTGATATTTGCAGCCGTTATGTGGTTGAGTACATGAACTGAAGGAAAGTATCATGTTCATGACGAGCAGAACCGGAGGTTATAATTCTGATTTGGGACAATGTCAAGTGTGTCATATTATCCACTTGCAGTAACAATGGAAATAACATATTGATTGTTGTTAAAACCATGAAACTTGAAGATGAAGCTTGTTACTTTCAGAAAGTAAGACCCGAGGGTCCAGTATTATCTGTATAAATACATTGAATCTCTATTTATCAGGATAGAATAATAACAATAAATTGTCTAATGAAGTAGTCAAGTATTTGGAGTGTAGTTTAATGAGGTAAATAAGTTCTTGAAGTGTTTGATGGACTACTGTTAATTTCTGGTTCTGTTTAGCCTGGAGTGAATCTAAGATGTATCTTCTCCACCACTGGTGTTGTAATAAATATTGAATTAGTAATCTTATATCACCACTTACCTTCAAATATTGGTCTTGAAAATAACACTTAATTACTAAACATCTTTTACCACATACACTACCCAAACAACTTTTCCATATGAGTTATGTTTACATAATGAAAAGTCTGGTGGTGGCAGCCACCAAAGTGTAAAAAGTGTTGCACAAAAGAATAACATGGCTCCCCAGACTTAAACTTTATGTATAAGAATAGACATATAAATAAGTATATTTCAGAAAGGTAAAGGAAGGATGAAACTGAGAATACAATGGCAAGGAAAGCTAAGTCAAGCAAGAAAGTGTTCACGACTCTGGAACATGCAAGTAGAGAGAAAATATAAGAGCTACTTTATATAAGGTTTATAAGGTATATAGAGGACAGAAACATACTGTAAATATGGAGCAAGAATACATACATTGGGTGATATATATATATATATATATATATATATATATATATATATATATATATATATATATACAGAGGAGTATATATATATATATATATATATATATATATATATATGTAAAAGAATTGAAGAAGGATAAGTATAAAAACAGGGTACTATTGGAGAGATTACACAGAACATAGGAAAGGTATATGAATAAATAATACAACAGAAAAGAATAGCTGGAGAAACTCGGCTCGTTACAACAGTAATCGGTTTTAGGGCTTAAATTCCATACCATTTTAGTAAATATCAAGAAGGTTGTACTATTCAATAATTTTAAAAGTTTTATATTAAATTTTTTAGTCATTTTAACAAGTATTGAACTTAATTGAAGTACAGGAAGCTAGTTTTTTGCGCGCCAAACAGCCACTCAACACACCAAGCTTGGCGTCAGTTTGTTTACCAGTTCAGAGGAAGGAACATCTTGTTTGAGAGTCTTCAACATAAACACTTTTTTCTGTGTTTCCAGTCAAATTATTGGTCATTTTGAAATATATTTTACATATTGATAACATATAGCGCAGTGCAGTGTTGATTTAAAGAAAATAATCTTGAATTACACCAAATGAACTAAAATTTCATAGGTGAAATGGCGGCATGGGGTGACTTCTCTTCCACCCCAATGCCTTTTCTTCTCCCTTCTCCTCCACCCCCATTCTAATTCCCATCATCATCATTATCATCAACCAGGAGCCTTCTACATGCACACCTCAAAGTAAGTGTACTTTACTGCATTTGTTTTTAGTTTGTATGTAATTTTCGGTGAGCTGGAACCAATTACCCAAAAACCCATTGAAACAATGGTTTATGTTAACGAATTTTTCGGTTAACGAGCAAGCTTCTGGAACGAGTTGTGATCGTTAACCGAGGGACCACTGTACAGTACTTTTCTGTGAGTTGGAACCAATTACCCAATATCCCATTGAAATAATAGATTTGGTTAACGAAAGACTCTGTGGAACGAATTGTGTCTGTTAACCGAGGGGCCACTGTATTCTCTTTTGTCTAGGTATATATGTTAAAATAACTGTACAGTACTGTATTATTGTACTAAAGAAAACTATGTATTTATTTTATTTATAATTAAAAATTAGTTTTTTCCTGAGTATCTGTTATGCATGCTTATGTACCATGTTTTTGTTCCTAATTAATTATCATAGATAATGTGGAGTCTACTATATATAGCATGTTAGCACAACAACTGAAGATAATTTGTAATAAAAAAAAGAATGAACCATTCAAGCAGTAGTTAATATACCAAGTTATCGTAGCTTCACAGAACTAAGAACTAAACAGCCAACAAGACACAGCACCACAGCTCAGTATGTTAACAGTGGTACTTACTCACACCTTCATGACTCATTTAAAAAAAATTTGCAAAAAATCTACTTTTGCTTTGTATTAAATTCTTTCAAAGCTCATTACAGTGATCCCTCGGTTAACGAACTGCCTTCCATAAGAATCTTCAATTCGGTTAACGAATTTCTTACGAACCAACCTCAACATGTTTTCGCTTGCACTGGCCGGGCAACCAGCTTTAGTATCAGTCCGCCAATACATTAATCGGTTCTAGGGCTTAAATTCCTTGCTATTTTAGTAAATATCAAGAAGTTTATACTATTCAATAATTTTAAAAGTTTAATATTAAATTTTTTAGTCATTTTAACAATTATTGAACATAATTGAAGGTAAAGTGACTAGTTTAATGCGCGGCATCCAGCCTCTTAACACAGCAAACAGGCGTTAGTCTCTCTCTGTTTTCACTGGAGGTAACATCTTGCTTGAGACTCTCTTCAACTAAATGCTTTTTTCTGTGTTTCCAAGCAAATTATTGGTCATTTTGAAATATATTTTACATATTGACAATATATAATGCAGTGCAGTGTTGATTTAAAGAAAATAATCTTGAAATACACCAAGAGAACTAAAATTTTATGGGTGAAATGGTGCCATAGGGTGACTTCTCTTCCACCCCAATGCCTTCTCTTCTTCCTTCTCCTCCACCCCCATTCTAATTATCATCATCATCATCCAGGAGCCTTCTACATACACACCTCAAAGTAAGTGAACTTTTCTACCATTTTTGTTGAATTTAGGCAATTTTCGGTGAGCTGGAACGAATTACCCAAAAACCCATTGAAACAATGGTTTCGGTTAACGAACAACCTGCTGGAATGGATTGAGTTCGTTAACCGAGGGACCACTGTAATTAACACTAATTACTTGAATTTTTAAATTCTGAACCTAGATCCTTAACCAGCATGTTAAAGGGTACCTTTGTATGAATTTTTAATAAAATCCACATTAGGCCTCATGCCAAAAAACGATGGGTAATAGGTCAGTCTTCATTGTCAGGATAAAATGCCCTTTCTCTGGAAGCTGAAAACTAACATATTTAAAGCATAAATAGAGTCATTATTACTGAGTAAATGTATATAATGGCAAATAGGGTTTTAAATACAGGGCATTATACAATATTCCAATCACACTAACCTGACTCTGAGTAGTAAGCTGCCATATAACACTGATCATTGGGGAGCCAGATATACATTAATGCCTCCAAGAATTCTGAGAGAGCACCCAGGAGAGAATCTGTGAAACAAAACTTGTGTACAGTAACCAAGTATTACAGCTACACTACCACAAAGACAGAGACAAAAATGGGCAAATGAAACATGGAGAGAAATGTTGTCAAAAGTTAAGAAATAAAAAGATGCTGTTAATGATAAAACTAAATCGAGAATTTATATACTGGCACTGGCAAGCTTGCATGTTAAAAAAATGCAGTGAATCTAGAAAACTAAAGATAGAATCTCTCCCTTAGCCTGCAAGAGGTTCCCCTCAGCTAAAAACATCACCTAGCAGTAGCCAGAATACAGTGATAAAGTGTGTGAAATGGTTAAACTGCAGCCCCTATACACTTAGTAAAGCGAATGTGATTACTTACCACTAAGGCTATTCTTTAACATAAACACCAAGGCCTCTTTAAGAGACTCATGACTCTTCAAGGCAATCATGATTGGGCACTGAGAGCGATCTTGTGGAGCCATACGATATGTTAAGTGCCAGATTAAGAGTCTCAAGAATCTGAAAGCTTCTATAAGGGTGGGCACATCATCTGTGGTGTGCATGAGCGTCAAGCAGGAGTTGAGTAGCAGACGATGACCTATCACTTTCTCACAGCCGACTGACTGACAGCACAGGTTGGCTACCACACCAACCACAACCTCCTGCATTTAAAATCTATTATTTAACAACAAAAATAAGCCATTTAACACCAAGTTAACATATCAAAATTTACAATTTTAAGAATAAAACACATCTGCATGCACCATAATGCACTGAAATATATAGTCATAAACAAAATCTTAATAAAAGCACAAGATATGTTACATAAATAGTATACAGAGATTACCCATCTCAAAACTCTATTATCTTTACTTATTTACCAAATGGCCAGTTGGCCACCCACTAAAGGCGGCCATGACGAGGGAAGGAGGCCAGTGACCTGTGTACATAAAAACATAAGAATGGAGGAAACTGCAGCGGGCTTATTGGCCCATACTGGGCAGTCCCATTTACACCCAACCCCTATTGCTCATATATCCATCCAACCCATGTTTGAAGCTATCCAGAGTGTTTGAGTTAATGATGATATTTGATAACTTGTTCCACTCATCCACTACTCTATTTCAAAACCAATGTTTACCTATTTCGCGCCTAAATCTAAATGTGTCTAATTTAAAACCATTGTTACGAGTTTGCTCCTCGTTGGATAGTTTGAGTACCTTTGTAATGTCCCCTTTGTTTCGTCCTGACTTCCATTTATACACCTCTATCATATCGCCTCCTCACTCTACGTCTCTCGAGGGAGTGCAAATTAAGATGCTTTAACCTGTCTCTGTACTCAAGGTTCCTAATGCCCGGGATTAGTCTTGTCATTCTCCTCTGAATTCTTTCCAAGGATTATATATCCATTCTGTAATACGGTGACCAGATTTGAACTGAGTAATCCAAGTGAGGTCTCACAAGCGTAAGATATAGTTTAGGATGACCTCGCTAGTCTTGTAACTAACACTCCATTGTATGAACCCAAGTTTCGAGCAAATACACATTGTTTACTTATCATTACTCCTGAATCTTACTCACATTCGGATTTCTCAATAACATCGTTGTTCATCTGATATCTGGTTTCCCTGTTTACATCTCCTATACTGAGTACTTTACATTCGTCCACATTGAATTTCATCTGCCATTTTTCAGACTATTCGAAAAATTTATTTAGATCTCCCTGTAGTTTTGCGGAGTCCTTGTCATATTTAATTACAGGCCCTATTACAGTGTCATCAGCAAATTTACTTATGTTGCTGACTACGCCGATATATATGTTGTTAATGTATATAATAAATAATAATGGTCCAAGTACTGAGTCTTGGGGAACTCCACTAGTGACGTTGCTCCAATCGGATTAAGTGCCATTAATGCTCACTCGCTGTTTCCTGTCCTGTAACCACGCCCTAATCCATTTTAGAATATCTCCTTTAATGCCATGAGCCTCCACTTTTCTTATAAGTCTTTCGTGGGGACTCGGTCGAAGGCTTTGCTAAAGTTGAGGTATATGACATCATAATTGTGCCCCTCGTCAACTGATTCGAAAACAGATGAAAAGAATGTTAATAGATTAGTTAGACATGAACGCCCGCTTGTGAAGCCATGTTGGGAATCATTGATCAACTTGTGCTTCTCCAGGTGATTTCGAATAGAGTTTGAAATGATTGCTTCCAGTAATTTGCCTACAATTGATGTTAGACTGATTGGACGGTAGTTAAAGGGTAGTGATCTATCTCCCTTCTTGAAAATCGGTATTACATTCGCTATCCTCCAAGATTCTGGTACTACACCCATTTTTTAGGACATGTTAAACAACTTTGCTAAGGGCATACTAAGCTCTACCTTACATTCCTATAATACTCTGGCAAATATCTCATCGGGACCTGGTGACTTCTTAGGCTTTAGTTTGTCTATTTGCTTACTAACATTGTTACTAGTCACTACTATCTCGCTTAATTTATTCTTCACTATCTCTGTATAGAGTCAGTGCCTCGGGTATCATGTTTAAATTTTCGGTCGTGAAAACTGTTGAAAAATATTTATTCAGATTATTGCTCATTTCTCCATCATTATCAGTTAGCTCGCCGGTATCTGACTGTATTGGTCCAATCTTTTCTCGTGTTTTAGTTTGATAGAATCCCTTGGGATTTCACTTCGCCTCCCTTGCTACCTTTAGTTCATTACACCTCTTTGCTTTTCTTATCTCGGTCTTAACTCTACCAGCCAATACCTTATAATAATCTCGGAGGTAAACTTCACCACAATTTATTCTCCTACCTATAGCCTTCCTTAGCACAATAATATTCTTTAAATAATTATTTATCCATTTGGGGTCATTGTTGTTTGATCTGAGTTTTCGTATGGTATGTTCTGCCTTTGTGCATTAAGTAACTCATTATTTAAATTGTTGTGGAACTTGTCAACCCCAGATCTCGTGATCAGGTCATCCTCAACCGTCAGGTCTCCAGGTAAGGTGAGGTCGCCCTCTGTGGGTATATTGTGTGAGGTCACCTCATGTGAGGTCATGTAATTCACCCCCAAGCGTGGTACCCCTTCTATCAACTGCCTCTTCAAACTATCAAAGTTTGCCCTTCTGAAATCTGGGACTTATGTGGAATTATCCTTGCGGCTGCCCTGAAATTCTAAATAGAATCTCATTCTTTGTGATCGCTGATAGCAAGTTTGTTCCTTACCTCGACATTACTAATGAGGTTTTCTCTGTTTGACAGAACTAAATTACCTCGGGTGGGTTCGGTTATATGTTAGCTTAGGAAACAGTCCTGGATTGTTCCAAGAAAATCCTCAGATTCTGAGTTACCCTGAAGGTCAATCCAATCTATTTGGCTAAAGTTAAAGTCGCCTACTATACAGACTTTGCTATGTATGGAAGCTCTGCGCATTTCATCCCAAATAAGTCGCTCATTAGCTCTATCAAGATTAGGAGGTCTATATATTACTCCTGTGATTAATTTTTCCCTACCATCGATTAATTCTATCCAAATTGTTTCTGTATTCAGTTCAGTTTTTATTTCCTTATTTATTTCACACTTCAGATTATCACTGACACAGATTGCTACTCCACCTCCTTTCCTAATCCACCTATCGGTATGGAATAATTTGAAACCTGCAATTTGATATTCGACAAGTAACTCACGTGAATCTAGGTTTATCCATGTTTCGGTGAATGCTATAATATCGATTTTTTCGGTACATGCCAACGCCCTGATTTCATCTATTTTGTTTCTCATACTTCTATTCTTTGCAAAGTAGACATTTAAGTTAGTCATGTTCTGAGTCCTCTCTTTGTCCCGTTTAGGTTTTAACTCCCTGCCTAGTTTAGTTCTGTCATCATTCCTAGCACTATTTCCCTGTAACCTTTCACTTTGTTTACCCGCTCCCACAATGCAATCTCCTCCATCCCCATGCTCATATGTTCTCCTAGCAGTTTAAAGACTTCGACATCTTTTGAACTGTCCTCTCGAGCGCGCGAGCCAGGGTTGCCACCCCATCCCTACCATAAAGGTCCCTTCTGCTGTAAAAGTTGTCCCAGTTGTCAATGAATGGGACTGATATTTACTTGCAATATCTGTCAAGACGGCCGTTGACACCAACTGCCCTTGACAACCATTCATTGCTAACTCTCCTTCTAGGCCGGACACCACATATGATAGGGATCCCTCCCTTCAACCTAATACATTCTATTGCTGTCTTGAACTTATCAAGAAGCTCCTCACTCCTACACCGGCCAATATCATTGCCTCCTGCACTGAGGCAGATAATGGGTTTAGTCCCATTACCATACAAGATATTGTCTATCCTATCAACTATATCCTCCACCCCAGCTCCTGGCAAATACACCCTCATCCTATTTTTATTTTTACCACAAAAAGCTCTGTCCAGGTACCATACCTGGGAATCGCCAACAATTAAGGTTTTCGTACCTTCCTTGTCAGCCTTGACCCTGACTATGCAAATGTCCAATTTGTCTATCAAAGGACTGAAAGAGTTGGCAAACTTTGCTGTTGTTGTCGTTTCCTTGGTGTGTTTTTTTACCACCAGTTTGGTTGTCCCTCTCCTCACGACCTTCCATTCGCCTGAGTTTTCGTCAGACACGGGCTTTCCTTGTCTCGTTTCTTCCTCCATCCTCACTATCACTTCCTTAAATTTCAAGGTTTCTTCCTTGACCCTCTCTAACTCGGCCCTCAGAAGGGTACAGCCCTGTTCACAAGTAGCACTAGCCATTACTGACAATTAATCCCCGGGAGCTAAGCCTGCCATGACCTTTCCTCTTGATCACTTTGTCCAGGGCTATTTTGAAGCCCAGTATTTTCTCGATTCCACAATTTGGGGTGGTAGACTGCTCCATAGGTCCACCAACAATAACGCCACCCTCAACCATACTAACACCACGTTTGGTAACATCATTCTCTCTTCGAACTATTCAACTCCCTTCATGACACTGGCCCCTCTATTTAAATAATATCAACCTTGTATTACTTTGTCAATAATCCTTTATAAAATAACCTCATATTCTACAAAAGAAATATCAACCCTGCATTCAATACCTTTCCCAATTCCAGTGTCATCATAATCTTACACCTTTCCTAAGTACAGTAGTAAACGCCTTTCTAGAATGTTGGGACACAATTTTAGACAAACAAGTAAAAAGCAAAGTCTACAACACGGACAAGTCATATATGATACTCACGGTAAGCCGAGGTGCTCGAGACAGTGTGATGATATCTTTGGCCAGATGTAAAATGTCCACAACGCTTAAACCTAAAAGGTAATCCACCACATCTGGCTCTGCTGTCATGTCCCACAACTGGCAGGCAGCATTCTCTACATCTTCTGCCAACTCTAGGATGCTATCGCTCTTCTCTGCTGTATCCTCTTCAACAGGCTAAGGGAACATAGTATTTAAAAAGCTAACCTAGCCATTATACAGTACAGTGTACAATGTAAATTTATTTTTGAAGGTTAGAAAAATGTACTTTGGATAGGTTACCATATAAGTGATGCAGTTGTCAATGTCTTCTACTATAATACTGAAACATATATAAGATAAAAAAGGAAAGTAAAAAAAGGATACACATAAAAGTCATTGAAGAATCAATTTGTTCAGTATACTGTACCAGGTAGAGTGTATACTATCATTACATGTGAGAGAACTGTATCAAAAACAGAGTGTATGAAGTAAGAGTAGTGCAGTGTGGGGTCAGAAAAGGAAGTAGGATTTTTTTACGGGGAATAGCCACCCAGGCACAGGTCATCGACCCACAACGGGGCCTAGGGGGGCGAAAAAATAGGAGTAAAAAGAAATTAAAAGTAGAAAAGAAAAAGATTATATGAGTATAGAAACACAGAAGAAGGCAGAGCATTCTACAGTTTGGTTGTGTGAGGAAAGAAGGATGTACTATAATGGGAAGGGTTATTCTAGCATGGCCGACATACACACAGAAGCAGTGGGTACCGCGGGCAAGGCAAGTGTTACGAGTCCACGGACATGCCGGCGATACACAGGATGCCAAATCCACCGAACATTGCCAGTTAAAGTACCTGTAAAAGAGAGAGAGTGAAGCAACATTGCAGCAAAGAGAAAGGGAAGAAAGGTACTGTATATGGAAAAAACATTTTCAAACAGTTGCAACAAGTTGAGTAAAAAAGTTTCTGCAGACAGTAAAAGAATTTGTGATAGTTGCAGATGTAGAAAATGAAGATTATGATTAAAAATATACAACAAAACCTCTATTTAACAAATTACAGTACAGTACAGGTTGGACCCCGCTAATCCGGAACCCGATAGTCCGGTAGCTTCGATGGTTCGGGACGGTATCAGTGGGCCTATAATATAAAATTTTCTCTTTGCCTTTTCTGCTAATCCACTTATTTCTGTGTCACAGTACAACTGACCCTCGCTTTATGCTATGGTTGTGTTCTGCAACAACACAGCATAATGGGAATCTGCATACAGTGAATACAGTACAGTACTTAATCTTATGAGAAAATTAGGATATGTTCCACAACTACTAAAAGTCAACAGTAATGCGAGGAAAGTTGTGGAAAAATCATTACAATACTCTAATGTGGGTTAGAAATAAAGATAATATAATATAAAACTATAAAATATAATACAAAACTACAGTATAAGCTAAGACATATGAAAAGCATGGATGTTTGTGTGGAAAGTGAGTATGTGGAATGGCTGACTCACCATTCCAGCTGTGTCCCATGGCATCACATACAGCGCAGTAGACACACACTATGCCACATTTCACAACCATTTCTGGAGCATTAATGCAATAAAAGTTGTAGAAAATCATTAAAATACTCTAATGTGGCTTAGAAATAAAGATAATACTGTATAATATAAATCTATAAAATAAGAAAAAATAAAGAACATGGGTGTGTGGGTGGATGGAAAGTACGCTGCCCGATAAATGAGGAGCCCTCCCTCCGCCTCCAACCCTCCCTCCCTCAATGTGACATCACATACACACACATCATTTACAGTTAACCCTCACTTTACGCGGTCCCACATTCCGCGTTTCCACGTTTACGCGGTGCCCTGCCGGAACCCAGGATGCTCACATTCCGCGGTGCGTGTACCCCTTTACGCGGAGAGCGGCTGGCGAGCCGCGCCATTTTTGGATCCAAACCTCCCGCCATCCGCCATGTTGTGTAAGCGGCGTGAACATGGTGCGCACAAGGTCGCCCAGTCATCAAAACATTACCAGTTCTTCACCCGCCACCCACCACAGCCGGCCCAAGTCAGTGATAGTGATAATTATGGTGAGGATATGGACTTATATGGACTTTGGGGAGTTTGACAAAGAGGCCCTGCAAGCCTCTGTGATGGATAGTGATACAATTGATACAAGTGACACAGGTGAGGGCCAATAATCTGCCCTCTGCCTCGGAACCAACCGCCCACCCCCGTGTGCCCAGCCATTTTTTCTACTAATGTAAGTGTTAAAAAACCTAATATTATTGATATTTCTCTTAATTATTAATTGTGTGTGCATACCATCATAAAGTTAAGATTATATTTTTACTACAACATAGTTGTGTGTCGTCAGAAAGTGGAGTTTGGGGATCGGCCCGGACTCCATTTCAATTAATCCCATATGTTATGTTATTCACTTTACGCGTTTCTCACTTTACCCGGGCTGGGTCAAAGCGACCCACAACAGAGCCTGAGAAAAAAAAAAACGGAAAGAAATTGTAAATATAGAAAAAAGGTTATACTGTATTAAGCTACACCACCAAGATGCCGGAAAACCAGCTTTTTAAATTGAGACAGATTGTAAGAGCATGGAAACACAGAAGAAGGCAAAGCATTCCACAGTTTGGCTGTGTGAGGAAAGAAGGAGGTACTATAACGGGTTATTCTCGTGTGACCGACATCCACAGAGAAATGGTGGGCACCGCGGGCAAGGCGTGTGTTACGAACCAACGGCCTTACCGGCGGTACACAGGATGCCAAATCCCCTGAACATTGCCCGTTAAAGTACAGTAGTACCCGATTTGCAGTCAATTGAACCCACAGGGTACGCGTAAATGAACAACAGAACATATGGGATTAATTCCAATAGAGACTGGCCCGACCCCAAACTCCACTTTTTCCGACACAATACTTATGTTGTAGTAAAAATAACATCATATATGATGGTATGCTCACACATTAATATTTAAGAGAGATATACAGTCACCAGGTTAATGTCCATTCAAATAATGGACTCAATCCCCCTCTTCCCAGCTCACTAGCTCCTACCTCTCTGAGAAATGTTTGGGTGAAAACACTAGATTTTTAGCGTTTAGTAATAAATAATAACCCAGACTAAAGTTAGGATAATATAATTGACATTTCTAGATCCCTTGCAGGTCAGGGAATATTTTGAATGTAAACTTCATATATTTTGCACAAACGATAAAATATTTGCTTTGTGTAAACCAAATTATTACATTAGATCTAAAATTTGTATGTCTAATGCAAAATCCATTATGTTTACATTCAAAATGATCATCATATTGTAAGAATTCCAGCAATGTAAATTATATTCTGGCAGGGTAATTTGTATGAATTTTATGAGGTAAATAAAAAAAAAAAAAAAAATTATACTTCACCGCGTATATGAGTAGATGCACCGTGGAAAGTTAAAGTCCGGTTCTGGCAAGGTACAGCGTAAATGAGAAATCGCGGAAAGTGAAAGAAAGTGAAACCGTGTAAAGCGGGGTAATACTGTATCTGTAAAAGAGAGAGAGTGAAGCAACATTGCAGCGAAGAGAAAGGGAAGAGAGATTGTCGATTAAAGGAGGAGAGTTAATAAGACGAAATGCCTTAGATTCCACCCTATCTAATAGTTGGACAGAAGAAGAGCCACCCCAGATATGAGAGCAGTACTCCAAGTTAGGACGAATGAATCCCTTATATACTTGGAGCAACTGCTCAGGGGTGAAGTAGCTGCGGCATCTGTACAGCATTCCCAACTTTTGGGAGGCAGCTTTAGTTATACTAAGGATGTGAGATTTCCAGGACATATTGGAGGAAATGGTGAGGCCTAACATATTTATTTCAGAATTTGGGAGGATGATAGCATCCTGAAATGTAATTGGTGGGAGATCGTCTAATTTACAAAGTGTAATGGGTAAATATTGAGTTTTATTACCATTGAACTTAACCAAGTTTGTACTTCCCCATTCAGAGATGCTGCACAGATCCGCGTTGATAGAAGTAATGATATCAGTTCTAGAAACAGATCTAGTTTGAGAGTTAGGAGGAAGGGGAAAATGTGAGGAAGAGTAGAATCATCAGCGTAAGAATGGATAGAATTAGTTGTAGTGTGAAGTAAATCATTGATAAAAAGAAGGAAGAGAGTTGGTGAAAGAACAGAACCCTGTGGGACGCCACTACTGGTAGAGAAAGAGCGAGAAATCGATCCCTCGACAACAACTGCCATGGATCGGTTCTCAAGGAAGCTAGAGATGAGAAAACAAAGTGGGGGAGAGAAACCAAAAGAGGGAAGTTTAGATAGCAAAGACTTGTTCCATACCCTGTCAAATGCTTTGGAGATGTCGAGAGCCACGACAAAAGTTTCCCCATAATCCCAAAGAGAGGATGACCAAAGATGGGTGCAATCGGAGAGCAGATCATCGGTAGATCTCGCCTGGCGAAAGCCATACTGGTGATCCGACAAAAGAGAAAGGCGTTCAAGGTGACGGAGAAAATGGGAGTTCAAGACAGTTTCGAAAATCTTCGAGAGGGATGAAGTTAGGGCAATGGGGCAATAGTTAGAGGGATTAGAATGGTCACCCTTCTTTGGGATGGGCTGAACCAAGGCATGCTTCCAAGAAGAAGGAAAAGTTTGGGTTTTGAGGCACAGGCGAAAGAGGCGAGCAAGCACAGGGACCAGGGCTTCAGCACACTTCCTCAGAACACGAGGGGGTATTCCGTCCAGTCCATGCGCCTTACTCACATCCAACCTGGATAACACACCGGGTGGGCTAATGTCCGTGTGAAAAAAAAAAAAAAAAAAAAACATGCCAAACTTAGTCTGCAACACACACAAGTTATAATGTTTATATTGTTGACTATACAGTATATACTTATTTCACTGTTACACTTTTGCAGGTGATGAAACAGTAATGAATTGTGTGTGAAGATTATTCTTTTAATAAATACTCCTTTACTCACCATAAACTGGTTGCATCTACCTGAACCACGGGCCACATAAAGTAGAATTTCTCAATCACTCCACGGGCCGGACAAACACGTGGTCTGGGCCGCAGGTTGCCCATGCCTGGACTATAGTACTGATCAAAGTCTTACCTTTTTTTCAAAATTTTCCATTCCCACATCTTCATTTGTAGCTTCTGGACAATTACTTGTAGTTTCCCCAATTGTTTTGTCATCAGTAGTGAGGTAGCGTGGCAAGGCCTAAAATAAGGTACAGTGCACATTATAAATCCACAATGATCTTGTATTTTTTCAAATTTATATCAACCCTTTCTATGCGAATCCCATGTACTGTAGACAGCTGTACCCCCAGTGCAAAGGAAAGTTGAAAATTAAAAAAAAAAAGTAAAAATATTTGACCATCTGAAGTTGTTTTATACTGTACAATGTAAAAAGTAGTTTTTGACAATAAATATCAGTATTTGCCCACAATGAAAGTGCAGACACACACAAACTTGCATGCACATGCATTTATCTCAGCCATGATTGAGAAGTTACTGGCAGGCCTAGAGATAATTTGTGGGCTGTGGCTGCCTCCCTACATGGCAGCTGACCAAATGGGATGAATATATCTGGCAATAAGATTTAAAGTATGGGCAGGAAAATTATTACTGCATGTGGTGCGGCAATCGCATTGATAGGGTTTAAATTATTTCTTAATTAAAAAGAGTATCTTGAACAAATAGCCTACAGCACACTTGTTATGCACGAGCAGACAATATGCCCTGATAAAATGAACTCAAGAACACTAAGAACAAAAAAGAACTAAATTCATCTTCATTGTTAGTGATGTTCTTTCTTGTTGTGACTGTAATGGAGTGTTGTTAAATATAATACAAAAGACTATAAATTATGTAAAGCTATATTCATCATCATCATTTTCTGGCATTCGTGTGCAGTGCCAGCCATTCTGACTCCTTGCATACTGACCTGTGTAATTGTCAGAAGGGTATTTAGAACCCAGCGATGAGTATAAGCAGTGTTTCCAATAGCATCACCACGCAACACAGCACACTCTGCCTCACCCAGCTCAGATGGGAGAGAAGGGTTCACTAGGCTCTGCAAAAAATAAATCCTTAAGAATATAATCATTATTTTCAAAAAGAATCTACAAACATTAACAGACCATCTAAACCATTTAATTCTTATAGATCATTTCCTCATCCTACAACATTCAATACAGGGGAATACAGTACAGGAGGAAACCTAACCTAACCTAACATGGAATACCCCTCTGTAGCCTTAAACCAAATTCCACATTTTTGTACACAATTACAGTGTCTTGTAATACAGCCTGAGAACGTTTCGAGCGGTGGGCTGTGGTCGCCAACCCTCTGATATGAGGATTGCTCTCTTCTGACTGACTGATAATACAGGAGATACAATGACTGAATTTTTTATACTGTATACAGCTGCTCCCCGACTAACGACCAACTCGACTTATGACCACTCACACTTACGACCTGCCTCAGTCGTACCAAAATTTTGTCAAATTACGTATTTTCGAGTCCCAACATCAGTACACAGAGAAAATTTTCGTTTGTAATTCACTTTAAAATGGCTGGCAAGCTTAAAAGTGAGAGTTTTGTGGTGCTGAGAAGAAAAAGAGACACCCATTTTAGATTTTCTATGTATTATTTAAGCATCTTCAACTTACGACCTGGATTTGGGTCCCTAACCCCGTCATAAGTCGGGGAGGAGCTGTATTTTACTTGGTGTAGAATGATGACTCCATAATCAACTTTGTAGCTAACCAAATACAGTACTTGAGTTATTAGCACAACCTAACAATCTACCCAAGTGCCTAGATCCAGGGATCATGTAACACTTATCTGCCTGAATGATGAGAGCAAGAGCAAAGTGACCATGCTGTGTAAAGGGTGACCGGAGCACAGTACAGTCGGCCCTTAACATACGCGGGGGTTAGGTAACAGAGATACCCGTGAATGTTAAACATCCGTGTACTTTTGCTGCCCCCTCCCCCCTAAAAAACCCCTGGCCCCCCATGTCCTTATTTACCGTATATACCTGTGTGTAGTTCGAGTTTTTAAGATCAAATTATTTGGCAAAAAATTGGGGGTCGACCTCTAAACTGGTAATAGTTTCATTAGGTTGAAAAATATTTACCAGTAACTACCAGTAAACAATGGAAACGACGCACCAACGCACCACCAGCTGTGAGTGTCAGTACAGTTGCCAGGGCAGATCTCTTGAGTCATCATAGCAAGCCCAAAGTAGCCAAATGCATGGTATGGTATGCACAGGACGATGTTAAACATAAAGTATTCATTTTTTAAAGTTTATTTATAGATACAAATACATAAATTTTTGTTCATTACATTTGAAACATCAATCTTTGTTAATTAAATTTGAAACAAAAGAAAACTACGATACCGTATTTCTAAATACCGGGTATTGTCATTAAAATATTACATCACAAGTATATTTTACCTTAACTGTGCCTGAATGAATATATTCCCAGAAATAAATATGGAAATGTAAAATTTTTGCTGAAATGACGTACGTATTACAGTGGAAAGTGGGATAAAATCATGATGAAAACAATGACTTTAGCTTTCTTTCGTTGTTCAAAGATTTTACCGTGGAACAAACCTGTACCGTACATGTACTAAATGACTACGGTACTTAAATTGTTATGTCTATTGCAAATATAGATTGTTTATACAGGTATTCAAATAAATCACTATCTTACAAGAATCCCAGCAATGTAAGTTATATTCACCCAGGTCATTTGGGTGGCAAATTATGAGAAGAGCTCAGTCACTCTTAAGTAATGATAAATAAACAGTAGGCCTTCAACGCCAACTGTCACATCTTATCTCAAATAAATAAACAAACACCACACTCTGTCACCTCACCTCCCCCACCTGTTCCCCTCCCATGCTCCCTCCTTGTGTTCCCAGACAAAAGATTGGTGATAACTTTATTCTTTAAGGTGTTTATTTTATATAATATTTCAGACTAAAGTTAGGAGATTATAATTTGCATTGCTGGAATCCTTGTAAGACAGTCAATAATTTGAATATAAACGTCATATATTTTGCTCAAGATATAAAAATGTAGTACATTAGCGTACAATACTGTGTAGTACATTTTATAATACAGTATAAAGTTTTCAACTGTATTTTTGGGTAGATTTACATAAATTTCTTCATTTATTTTCATCCATTTACATACACACACCATACTAAAAGAAACGTAAAAGAAATAAATGACCTTAGTGCAAAGCTGGAGTGTACATGTACTAATTTCATTACGGTACTAAAATTGTTATGTCTAGTGCAAATTAGAGCATGTTGCTATTCAAATTAATCAGTGTCTTACAAGAATCCCAGCAATGTTAATTATATTCTCTCAGGTCATTTCACTGGCATTTTAAAATGGGAGAAGCGTAGTAGGACTGTTAAATAAACACTCAGAGACCTTCGGCTCAAACTGTCAAACATATCACCTCAACCCCCTCCCCCCCACCCCCCACCGGCTGGCTGGCTCCGTCCTTCCCTCCCTCCCCCATCTGCTCAGCCAGGGGTTTATTTAGGCTTACAGTTTTTATCTTATATAATATCTCAAACTAAAGTTAGGAGATTATAATTTGCATTGCTGGAATCCTTGCAAGACAGCCAATAATTTGAATATAAATGTCATATATTTTGCTCAAGAGATAAAAATTGTTGTTCATTAGTGAACAATACTGGTTTTCAGTTAAAAACTGTTGTATTACAATAATATTCCCTCCTAATAGACTTGAATAAATACTTGAATGGAAATATACAATATTTTTGTTGAAACTACCAGTGTTTCAGTGTAAAGTGTCGTAATAATAAATGGTAAACAATTTGCCTTCGGCACTCGGTGTTTCAGGCACGGCGAGCCTCAGTTTATAGGACGTAGTGTTTTTACTGAAAGTTTTGTTGTTCCAATACCCTCAAAAACTTGGGTCGACTTATAAACAAGGAATATCATAAATTAACGATTTTTTGGTCAAAAAATCAGGGTCGACCTACAATGCTGATGTCAACACAAGTGTGGTTACAGCGAGACTGACTGAGTGAGGGAGAGCGGGGTGGTGTGACGCGTGTGTGTGTGGGGTGGCGGGCGGTGTGCGGTGCCGTGCTCGATTTGAATGTACTTCAATTACTTCAATGTACAGAATATTCCTCCGGCGGGGCAATCCGCTATTTGCGAATCCGTGTATGCTAAACCCGCGTATGTGAAGGGCCGACTGTACAGTATGGGGAAGTTATCAAGTTGGAGCCTTTTGTAACTAACGTCAACAATTAGATATCTTTTAGAAACTCAGAATAAAGGAAAGGATAATATAACTATTGAATTTATTTTTCTTTAGATCTAAGACAGAAGTTAGGGCCCCCTGGGATCCACCTCTAACTTCATGACTATATCAAATTGCATTGTCCTAAGATGGGTTGAATATAAATTATCACTATAACAAGATCTGTTTTATGGAATTAAGTTATCATACTGACCTCTAATGGATTTTTTGTCTTTAATGTTTCTTCAGGAACCTCAGACAGAATACCAACAGTTCTTGGTGACAGCTCAATTTGTTCTGTGTTGATGTGTGGTGATGGCTGCAGTGATGTACTCTGTGGCAGCTGGTTATGAACCCCAGGTGAGCCAGCAGGTGAGTTATAATTAACAAGGGAGGTAGTTTGGGATTCCATTCTGATACTAATGCCTTGTGACCTGAAACAAAAAATGCAAATGCAAAATTGAAGTCTGTTGAACACAGTTACCAAATATGGACATGCAGGGGTAGAAATTCACCATTTTTTCAGTCGCCAGCAGGACTAGTAGATTTGAAAATTCACTAGTCCTTATAAATTTTTACTAGCCCTTAAACAATTTGTCAAGAAACATTAAACATTGGCACTTACCGGGTTTATACAAAGTTCTATTTACTGTGTGACATTTATTTACAAGTAGAAACCATGTTAAATCATAAACCAACACTGGAATAACTTAATTAATTGCATGGAACACAGATTTTTCATTGCATTTGAACAAGCATTTCCTGTACATGCTCCTCGTTCAATTCATTGTCATCGTCCAGATTTTCCACTGTGCAGCAGCCAGCAGTGTGAGTGTAGCCATCCACACAGCGGGCCCCAGTTGTTAAGAATCTGGCAAATGCTTTGTCCGGATTGAAGTTGCCAACACTCTCTGTTTGCAACTGAACCACCATGAGATCCGTCAGGTGGTCATCAGTGAGACGACTGCGCCAGTCAGTCTTAATTAGTTTGACCTGGCTAAAACCACGTTCAGCATCAGCCGAACTAGCCGGAATGGAAAGCAGTAGGTCAACCAGATGGAGAAATGAGGCACACCTTTCTCCGTATGATTGGTTGATTTGTTGCCAAGACAGTCTTGAAACAAGTGATGTCTTATTCTTGTAAATGTAACTTTTGAGCACAGTCCATTCATCCTCTACCAAAGTAGGATTCACCTCTGCCTCCATCAGTGTTGTCTCAAGAGCCTGGGCCAACACTTGCACAGCGCTATCCCCGAAATCTTCATTTCCACTGCACTCTGCAGGCCACAATTTGATATTCAGAATCCATGCGCTCTGGAGAATCGTGCTGGCCATGTCAATAAATCTTTTGTTTAGACATGAAATCAGTGATGTCAGCAAATCACGCCTTGCAGTCTTAAAAGTGTTGCTTCTACCACTCAGCTTCTCTCCCTGGAACATGGTCGTGTCACCTTCCACAATCCTTCTCAGGCTGGGTCCTGGCCAAGTCAAATATTTGTTAAGCTGTACAACAACTGCAGTCTGAATTTCATTCACGGTAGAAGAAATATTGGTTGCCCATGCTGGACCAGCTCTGAGAGGCCCCTAAGGCACCACACCCCACAACCAGCAGGAGGTGAAGGTACTGGACTATGTCAGCACTGATTAGAAGGAGCAGGTAGTTCTTAGGTTTTCTGGATGAATCCTTGTGGTACGCCTTGTAACTCTTCAGTAGATGCTCCAATGCCTGCAGCATATGCGGGAGCCACCTTATACCACCCACACGTGTTGGAACCAGAAATGGTACCTGACATATGTCATGAGCACCCTTCAACATGCTCCTGTTGAGAGAACTCTTTTCATAGAACAGGTATATGCCTCGCAGCAGTAAGTCAACCTTTTTGGCTAGTGGAACATCCTTTACTACATCCTTGTAAGTGAGTTCAATTTTATGTGCAGTGCAATGGATGCCTTCCAACTCCGGTTTCTCTAGATCTCTTCTCAATCGAGCTACTAAACCATTTCTGCACCCAGTCATAATGCTGGCCCCATCTGTACCAATGCCAACTAGCTTCTGCTTCCAAGTTTCGCCATAGCATGAATTCATCGTAGAGCAGACACATTTCTTGATAGATGCAGCATCAACTTCGATTGAAACTTGGTGTAGTTCCACCAGTGCTTCCCAATTGGATAATAATAATATATAATTTATGCAAAATAAATAATGATAAGGTTTGAGTAAAAAATAAGAATGTGCAAAAGCTTTTAACCATGACCAAATTCTCATACTATATCTTTACAATTCACTTTGTTCTAAAAAAAAACAGGGGTGATGGTGGTAGAGTGGTACCGCTCTTGCCTTCGCAAGCGAGATGTCACGGGTTCGATTCCCGGGCCGGTGGAAGTTGTTTGGACATACTTCCTAGCCCCCATTAGTCCCTGTTCACCTAGCAGTAAAGTAGGTACTTGTTGTAAATCGAAAGTTGCGAATTCGTATTCAGGGACAAGTTGTTGGAGCTTCCAATAACTTAATGACATAAACCCTTGACTCTTCAGGCTTCTACGCCCTTAACTCATGAGACATAAAGGCAAGCATGAACTTAGCATGCTTCCCTGTTGGGCACTGTAAACGCTTCTGCGCTTCACCTTGCACAAGGCTGTAGGGGAGTGCCCAATAAAAAAATAAAAAAATAAAATAAAAAAATTCTAAAATACAATAGTCAATTACTATTTGATTTTGAATGTGTGTGTGAATTGGTTGTATAATTTTGTACGCGTTATTATTTTTCGATACCTTGTTTGTATCGGTGATAATCTGAATATGTACAGTACTTGAAATTGTTTTTTGATAATAAATGGTGTGATTGTTGATAGAAAGGCAGTTTTCATCACTTGTCAGTTGTTTTTATTCTTGCCTATTATACATTCAGGTATTAAATTTTGCTGTCATTGCTTTTATATATTGTAGTATTATGTATAGAAATGAATTCGTCAATAATAATTGTATATCTACATAATCAGACTGCGTTTATTCATTACAATGCACGGTTTCCATACACCGACATGAATAGCGGTGGTATGTGTGTGTGACGTCATACAATCCCTGAACCGGCCTGGTGTTCTAGGTGGCATTGCACCAACTCATTTGCCCAGTTTTATCACACTACATTATATCATTGAGTGTATATATTTTATTTTAATTTTCATATAAAGTGTTATATACAGAAAATGGGTATCCCTTCCGCTTGCAATACTGGTGATACAATTAAGATAACTAGCATTAATAGTGTATTCTCTATAGGAAGCTCTTATACACATTGAGTGTGTCTTACCACTGTCATCGGCCCACTCGCCCATCGGGTGATCCCAGACCAGCAAAATACTGTAGTAAAATCTTGTCGCCCTTATGCTATTTTGGTCGCCTTGGGCGACCAGGCGAATGTGAATTTCTACCCCTGGACATGCAAAAATACAATACAGATAATAAATCAATTACTGTACCCAGCAAGCTTAGGGCCAAAAACAAACTGAATTCTGGAATGGTGAGAGGATGCAGTCCCCACATTACCAGAGAGTGACATAAAAGTATTCCCTGATTTATGAAAGTGGTCCAATCCTAAAAAGACTTTTGTAAATTAATTTTTTATAAGCTGTATCACATTATCCCATAGACTTTAGTTATAAGAGAAGAGATATGTCCCGACAAAAAATAAAACCTTCCTCATGCCCTAAACACTGAAAACACGCAAAAGCAAAATTTGATTCAATTTTTCCTCTGCCATCGGTTAAATAAGTTAATTTTTTTTAGTACAGTATTGTAAAAGTACTATATTAGGACTTTTTGCATGTTAGGAGAGATTAGGTCAGGTTTTCAAAGGTTTGTTCGGTGTTTTTAAAGTGTTTTAACCCCACATTTCCCTTTATTGAAAGCCCAGCCCACTTTGTGCAAAATAGCAATGAAAATAAAGGTCATATTCTTTTAACTCACCATGGAAACTGTATGTATATTATGTATGTGCTCCATTTATATACACTATTTATTCAGCCTAGCTAGCAGCGTGTGGCAATGTATTTACCATGTCCCACACGCTTAATTAATGTGCCTGGCGACATATGGAAGCTGCTAATGTATCACTTACCACATGTCGCCCAAAAAGCTAGTTGACCCCCCAGACAGAGTAAGGAGCGCCACCTCGCTTGTGTATCTTTGTTTATCCAGGAAATAGAACCTACGAAAACTCTACAGGTGTTTGTGTTCGCTCCTGTAGATAGAACTTGATACCCAGAACACATGCAGAAACCACAAGAAAAACCTTTTTGGTTATTCGATTCCTACAATTCCTATTATGACATAAAATGAATCCTTCCCAAGCGTCTGATATCTAAACTATTAGTCAAAAAATTTCCCCAAGTAATACTTTTACTTTTATCCTCTTCGCCACTGATCGGCTTGTTAGCCGCTTGGGCGATCGGTCACGTCTCTTTTCCTTTATATTCTTCACCAAAAGGTCGGCTCGCTAGCCGCCCGGGCGATCGGTCACGTCTCTGTCACGCACTGTTGGCAAATACTGGGCATGCACCGGCTCCTGAATGTACCTGAACCCGCTCCAGTGTTGGTCAAGTCTTCTCTTGAAAGAGCTCACACTCGGTGCCGTCACAACACTCTCTGGTAGATTGTTCCAAGAGTTTACAACCCTCACTCCGAAAAAAGTTTGCCCTCACGGTTTTCTGGACTTTAGGCTTCTTCAATCTTGAGCTGTGACCCCTTGTGGGGCGAGCGTCCGCCAGCTCCAAGTAAGGACACTCAACTGAGTAGTGCCCCCTGAGATGCTTATAAACCTCAACTAGGTCCCCCCTTGCCAGTCTGTAGTATAAGCTAGGCAAGTTCAGGCGCTCCAATCTCTCAGGGTAGCTGAGGTGCCGAAGTGCAGGCACCAGTTTGGTGGCCCTCCTTTGAACATTTTCAACCAACTGACAGTCCCTAGCATATCTTGGGGACCAGATGGGGTGACAGTACTCCAGATGGGGAAGCACTTCACTCCTGAAGATCGTCACGAGGGACGGACCGTCTAGATATCTGAACGACCTTCTTATAAGACCCAATAATTTATTTGCCTGATTTACCTTCTTCTCACAATGGCCCGAGAACTTCAGCTCATTGTCAACATACACACCTAGGTCCTTCTCACACACAGTCTCAACTAGTACATTTTCTTCATCCCGTTGGGACATATGGTACGCCTCCTTACCGTTGGTACGCCCCAGGTGCATCCTCTTACACTTCGTGACATTGAATCTCAGCAGCCATTCCTTCGACCATTCCTGGAGCCCACAGAGGTCCTTCTGCAGCTCTTCACAGTCCGCTTGGTTCTTAATTTCCCGAAATAACTTGGCATCATCGGCAAACATTTGTATGGAGGAGTGTACAACGTCAGGCATATCATTTATGAAACAAACAAACAACAGCGGGCCCAATACACTACCCTGCGGTACCCCACTTGTTACAGGTACAGATGACGATTTCGTGCCATTAATCACCACACATTGCTTGCGGTCATGTAGAAAGTCTTCTATCCACGCTAGGACATTTCCCCGAATTCCGTACCCTTCCAGTTTGATTTTCAGCCTTTCGTGGGGTACACTGTCGAAAGCCTTGGCAAAATCTAGGTAAATATTGTCGATATTACCACCCCGTTCTAGAATATGGGTCCAAATATCCAATACCTTGAGCAATTGTGTCAAGCAAGAGCGCCCCGGCATAAAACCGTGTTGGCAATCTTTTACAAGGTTGTTTCGTAGTAGATGTTCCATCGCTGCATCTCTGATAATACTCTCAAGTACCTTACATATTATGCTGGTCAGGCTCACCGGTCTATAGTTGTTCGTGGAGTGACTATCGCCCTTCTTGAAGATAGGACTCACATAAGCCACTTTCCATTCACTGGGGACCATTTGTTCATCCAGGCATTTACAAAACAGAATCTTCAGGGGCTCTGCAAGCTCGTTGCACAGCTCCCTTAGCACTCTAGGATGCACCATGTCAGGTCCAGGACTCTTATGGACCTTTAGCCTGGACAGTTTATTTCTAATACCCTCTTCTGTGAACACAATGTGGGTCAGTGCTGTGTCGAACCGTCTGTCCTCAAACGCAGGAAGGTTAGTTGCATCCTCTCTTGTGAACACTGAGGAAAAGAAGCTGTTCAATGCCTCAGCTTTATCCTGGTCAGAATCTGTGTAACTACCATCTTCAAGCCTCAGGTCTGATACTCCTACTCGCGTTTTCAATTTCGACTTTGCATAGCGGTAAAACGCCTTTGGGTTTGACTTGACCTCGCGTGCAACCAGCCTTTGGAACTCCTTTTCAGCCCTCCTACACTCTATCTTTGCTTGGTTTCTGGCTCTTGCATACATCCTCCTGTCTTGCTCATCGTTTGACCCAACACACGTCTTGAATTTCTGGGTTTTCTTCTTAATTTTGTCGACCGCCGCATGGTTCATGTGTAGGGATCCCCTCGTATTCCTAGAAGCACTGGGTTTGGTCTTGGGTATATATTTATCGATCAAATGGGTCATTTTACTAGTTATGATATTCAGCGTAGTGTCTGCGTTCTTGTACCTTAATAAGTCAGAATTACCTAAAATATAGATACAAAAGCTATTATGGTTAAAATTTCAATGTTGCCATGCACAGAATTCTATATAGATTCTTATACATACAGTATTGGGAGATGGAGCAAACAAAAATTTAATATAGTACTTTACTCTAAAGCATTTTCATTGAAAATTTATAGTTTTTGAGTTATTTTGACTTTTCTACCTCACATAATGCAAGTTTGCAGGGAAATACATTGTTTACTTATTACTCAGCCAATCAACGGAAGTTTAGATGTCTCGTGATACTTGTGAGCATACACAAGCTCTGGAAGTTGAATTGCATACAGTACAATAGCTGTATGATGGAGTCTCTGTGAAGTTTGCTCCATGGCGGATTGGCGTGTAATTCACCGAGTATTTACAAACGAAGCCGCAGCTGTTGACTTCTTCGGGGCTCAGGGTGTTCTCCCTTCTTCGGTCAAGTGTCCAAGGTGTGATTCAGACTGTCAGTATTGCACTTGGTATTGCCGTAAGAGACAGACACTCCCCCAAGGGAAACAGATCTCATAATTGTGGGTTTACGTTGTCTGAACATCATACTGCACCACTTCATCATTCATGTGGCATCACTTTATCGTCCTACACCTCTTTACCATGGTAACAAGTTTTTATCATATTGAGGACTATGAGGTAAGGTCAGGTCCTACCGGTTAGGTTAGGTTAGCAGTCAGATTCCCAGCTGGGTTAGTTTAGGTTAGCACCAGAAACTAAGGTCATATTCATTTGAATCACAACAAGAACCATAGGAAAAACATATTTTTTACAAAGTGGATATTTTGTTGTGAGTGGCTAAGTTCCTACTAACGCTATTTTGCCGTAAATGCACTCTGATTGGCTAAGTACTTTCTGTTTAATATGACGGGGGGGTCTGCCCCCCGGCTAGGAAGTTAGGTAAGGTTAAGTAGGTTTCTTTGGTTGGTTAGGTTAGGTTCTATTTGGTTCTAGTGAATGGCGCCTCTTTTATAATGATTAGTTTCCGTGAACAACAGAAATATGGTTAGGTATGTTTACAGCTACACAACGATCGACTCACTGCAAAATGCCAAATGCTATCAGTCACAATCAAATATACTTCTCGTGTTGTTCGCCGGTAATGGATGATTAGCCAATCAGAGTGCACTCACAGTAAAAAGCATTCGTAGGAACTTAGCCGGTCACAGGAAAATATCCACTGCCTATTTTTTATGGAAAATCAAAACCTGGCTACTATTGTAAATTGACCTATTACTGTTCATTTTCTTACAATATTTTCATCAGTGAGTTCTGATATGATAATCATTTATTGTGAGAATTGTTCATTTCATAGATAATTAGGCACCTAGGCACACACTAGTTTATCTTGCAGGCGATAAGGAGGCCGCACTCTGCCGAGGGGATTTTCCCGCGCCCGAGGCAGTTTTTTTCAGCATGTCGTGTGAAGGTTGTCGCCGATCTTACATAGACGTAATTTCTGAATTTAGGAATAAAGACAACGCGACGCTTCAATTGTTTAAAGATTACAGCATTGTTCCTATCATAGAGACTGTATATTTTCTTACATTATTTTCATCAGTGAGTTCTGATATTATAATCATTTATTGTGGGACCCGCCAACACAGTAAATCACTCCGGTGCCCGGGGTGCATAGCGCCGATGCGGCTGTATCATCTCACGTCCAGAAAACGCCTAAAATTTCACCATATTATAGTAAGTTTTTTCTGTTTAATATACCGGGTGGGTCCGTGCAAGGAAGTTAGGTAAGGTTAAGTAGGTTTGTTTGGTTAGGTCTGTTCTTCATACCCACAAGTTAAGCAACGTTTATTTTAAAAATAATTTTTTTTTAACATATTTCCACAAACTACCTACTAACAGTGTCCACTAAACTATAACAGTGGAAATCAGGTGTTTTCATAATTTTTGTCAATCAATTTCGCTCACTGCTGGTTAGTCCTCTATAATTACCTTGGTTTCATTAGTTTTTTACGTGTTTTTACCCAACAATTTCCCTCTACTTCAAAGCCCTGTCCACTTTATGTACCCAATATTGCAGGTAATTTGGGAGGGTAGGTGGGGGTCATAACTCAATAACTACTCGTTTTTCACGGAAATTACGTTCAAATTCGAAATGAAATACATAATATAAAGCTATTTTCCATAATAAATTACATATATGGCAATAGAAATATATACCTACTTTATCCAAGGGGTAAATCCAGATAAATCTTTTGGTAGTGCTTAACTTTGGGTACAGCTGCATTAGTCAACCCCTAAACCAACTAACTATTAAACACCCACACCATACCTGTTAACTGGAAATGTTGTCAGCAAGAATTTATTAAAATGTCTGAAGGTAATTCTGTAGTCAACGTTAGTCAAGATAATTACTATTGGTTGTTTAGATACACTTCACGAGGTCGCTTCTGTGCTGCTACTTCGTCCATTTTCTGTTGTAAGATTTCAATCAGTTCTTGATGGAAATTTATTAAACTTCCATTATTTTTGGTTTATTAAATTTATCATTCCCATTACTTTGTCAATCTATTGGGTATTTTGTTGTTTGTTTCACTTTTAATTACCTCAAGTATTAGTGAGAAAAGAATAAAGGATATTTATTCAAATCCGGGACACAAAAGTGAGAGGCAAGTAAGAGTAGGATAATTTTACCTTTTCTTTGAGTGGTAATTTCCTTTATTTTTACTTATTCACTGGGAAAATGTATACTTCGTGTTTAATTCCTTTAATGTTCTGCTTTCAGGCTACGAGATTTTTTTTAGGAATGAAAGTAACAAAAGGACTCATTTCAGTAAACACTCAGAACAGATCAGCTTTATATCACTTCTGTCTGTTCTTTATTTCACACTGTTGACAAATAATGCATATATCCTTTGCATCCCTACACTTTTACTTTTATCCTCTTCGCCACTGATCGGCTCGTGAGCCGCTTGGGCGGTCAGTCACGTCTCTGATACAGTATTGGTTAATACTGGGCATGCACTGGCTCCTGAATGTATCGGAACTTGCTCCAGTGTTGGTCAAGTCTGGCCTTGAAGAGCTCACACTCGTTGTCGTCACAACACTCTTTGGCAGGTTGTTCCAAGAGTTCACAATACTCACTCCGAAAAATTTGCCCTCACAGTTTTCTGGACTTGTGGCTTCTTCAACCTTGAGCTGTGACCCCTTGTGGGGCGAGCGTCCGCCAGCTCCAGAAGGCTGCTCGACTGAGATGTGTGTATACACCTCAATTAGGGCCCCCCTTGCCCGTCTGTAGTAAAGTTAGGCAATTGTAGGCGTTCTAATCTCTCTGGATAATTGACAGTCCCTAGCATATCTGGGGGACCAGACGGGGTGACAGTACTCCAGACGGGGAAGCACCTCACTGATCTCACTCTTGAAGATCGTGGCGAGTGACGGACCATCTAGATCAAAGATAAGCGTACATAGCCTTTGATCTAGATATCTGAACGACCTTATAAGACCACACATACATATCCATGCTCATCATTTTTCTTATTTTATAGTTTTATATTATATGTTCTATATTTCTAAGCCACATCGTTCATATAGAATGCAATAATTTTTAAATAAGTTTGTTTATCTGAGACACGAATTTGCAAGGTCGGCCTGTAGCAGTCGCACTGTGCATGGTAGTTAGGTTAGGTAAAGTTAGGTTAGGTTAGGTCAGGTTAGACAGTTGGAGTTCTGGATACACACCTAAGAGAGAGACAGAATACACCTTTAAGCTGTCTCTGGTGTGTGGAGAACAGAGTAGCGGCACACAAAAGGTTTAACACAATAACTGTATAATGAATGAGAAGAAAGATATATTTTTTTTTCACTTATGAACGCGTAAAGCTCTGCATAGTAATTAACAACTTGGTTACTCGTGTGTGTGTGTGTGTGGCGTGTGTGTGTGTGTGTGTTATGTGGGTACTTCTTCTATGAACCAGTTTGTGGTAGACGACCAGCTGTCACCATCCATCCAGCATCTACTGTAAGCTTCGGGAGCAGGGAGACAAACAGCTGCTACTACTACTACTACTACTACTACTACTACTACTACTACTACTACTACTACTACTAATAATAATAATAATAATAATAATAATAATAATAATAATAATAACAAAAGGGAAATTAACAACTGATCAGAGAGCGAGATTGGGGTGAATGACTCAAGGATAAAATAATGACAGTGAAAAGGTTTGAAGACAGACTGGACAAGTGTAATTAATATAGGCCCATGCTTAAGACTATACAGGTATAGTCGTTTATGGGCAACATAACGTCAACGAGTGATAGGGTGTGTGTGTGTAGTGATGATGAAGGACAAACGAGGTGGTCCATTGTGGCGGTGGCGAAGTGGATGTAAGTTTTCCACCTTCTTATCCAAAAGTCGCCTTTCGATTCCTGCTGCCGGACCACTAAGAGGGTATGCAAATCCTTGGTTGTCGCTGCTACAGGGAGGGAAGAGGGGGGAGAAGTGGGGAAGGAGGAGGAAGGGGAAGGAGAGGGGGTGGAGGGTAAAGGGGACAAGGAGAGGGAGACGTGGGGAAGGAGGGTAAAGGGGAAGAAATGGGGGAGGAGAGAAATGGAGGAAGGAGTTTGAAGAGTTGTACAACGAGCTTGCCAAGCCCCTGAAGATCCTGTTCTGCAAATACCTGGATGAACAAAAGGTCCCCAGTGATTGGAAAATGACCTTTGTGAGTCCTATCTTCAAAAAGGGCGATCGTCACTCCACGAACAACTGTAGACCGGTGAGCCTAACCAGCATAGTATGTAAAGTACTTGAGAGTATTATCAGAGATGCCGCGATGGAACATCTACTACAAAACAATCTTGTAAAGGATTGCCAACACGGCTTTATGCCGGGGCGTTCCTGCTTAACACAATTGCTCAAGGTATTGGATATTTGGACCCATATTCTGAAATGGGGTGGTAATATCGACAGTATTTACCTAGATTTTGCCAAGGCTTTCGACAGTGTGTCCCATGAAAGGCTGAAAATCAAACTGGAAGGGTACGGAATTCGGGGATATGTCCTAGCGTGGATAGAAGACTTTCGACATGACTAATGGCACGAAATCATCATCAGTGCCTGTCACAAGCGGGGTACCACAGGGCAGTGTATTGGGCCCGTTGTTGTTTGTTTGTTTCATAAATGACATGCCTGACGTTGTACACTCCTTCATACAAATGTTTGCGGATGACGCCAAGTTATTTCGGGAAATCAAGAACCAAGCGGACTGTGAAGAGCGGCAGAAGGATCTCTGTGAGCTTCAAGAATTGTTGAAGAAATGGCTGCCGATATTCAATGTCACGAAGTGTAAGAGGATGCACCTGGGGCGTACCAACGGTAAGGAGACGTATCATATGTCCCAACGGGATGAAGAAACTGCACTATTTGAGACAATGTGAGAAGGACCTAGGTGTGTATGTTAACAATGAGCTGAAGTTCTCGGGCCATTGCGAGAAGAAGGTAAATCAGGAAAATAAATTACTGGGTCTAAAAGAAGGTCATTCAGATATCTAGACGGTCCGTCCCTCGTAACGATCTTCAAGAATGAAGTGCTTCCCTATCTGGAGTACTGTCACACCGTCTGGTCCCCGAGATGTGCTAGGGACTGTAAGTTACTTGAAAATGTTCAAAGGAGGGCCACCAGACTGGTGCCTGCACCTCGGCACCTAAACTACCCTGAGAGACTGGAGCGCCTGAACTTGCCTAGCTTATACTACAGACGGGCAAGGGGCGACCTAATTGAGGCGTATAAGCATCTCAAGTGGCACTACTCAGTCGAGTGTCCTTAACTGGAGCTGGCGGACGCTCGCCCCACAAGGGGTCACAGCTCAAGATTGAAGAAGCCGCAAGTCCAGAAAACTGTGAGGGCAAACTTTTTCGGATTGAGAGTTGTGAACTCTTGGAAAATCTTACAGAGAGTGTTGTGACGGCACCGAGTGTGAGCTCTTTCAAGACCAGACTTGACCAACACTGGAGCAGGTTCAGGTACATTCAGGAGCCGGTGCATGCCCAGTACTTGCCAACAGTGCGTAACAGAGACGTGTCCGATCGCCAAAGCGGCTAACGAGCCGATCAGTTGTGAAGAGGATAAAAGTAAAGTAAAAGTTAAGGACTCACAGCAACATCTCAAAAAAACCTCTGAGTGTCTCTGTGGCCACCGGCCCGGCCAGACACTCGTTCCTCCTCTCCGTTATAAGGCACCACAAGAAGGCACAAGTATTGTGTACTATTATACACGGGTTTATAAACAGCTACGGTGATACAAGTCTAGTCATCCTAAGAATTGGGTTATGTTATGTTAGCGTCAGTTTGGTTATGTTATGTTATGTTATGTTATGTTAGCGTCAGTTTGGTTATGTTATGTTATGTTATGTTATGTTATGTTAGCGTCAGTTTGGTTATGTTATGTTATGTTATGTTATGTTAGCGTCAGTTTGGTTATGTTATGCTAGCGTCAGTTTGGTTATGTTATATTGCTAGCGTCAGTTTGGTTATGTTATGTTATGTTGATGTTATGTTATGTTAGGTTAGCGTCAGTTTGGTTTATGTTATGTTGTGTTATGTTATGTTAGGTTGGGTTATGTTGCGTCAGTTTGGTTATGTTATGTTATGTTGGCGTCGGTTTGGTTATGTTATGTTAGCGTCAGTTTGGTTTATGTTATGTTATGTTAGCGTCAGTTTGGTTATGTTATGTTAGGCGTCAGTTTGGTTGTTGTTATGTTATGTGGCGTCGGTTTGGTTATGTTATGTTAGCGTCGGTTTGGTTATGTTATGCTAGCGTCCGTTTGGTTATGTTATGTTATGTTATGTTATGTTATGTTAGGTTAGCGTCAGTTTGGTTATGTTATGTTATGTTATGTTATGTTAGGTTAGGTTATGTTAGCGTCAGTTTGGTTATGTTATGTTATGTTAGCGTCAGTTTGGTTATGTTATGTTAGCGTCAGTTTGGTTATGTTATGCTAGCGTCAGTTTGGTTTATGTTATGTTATGTTATGTTATGTTATGTTAGGTTAGCGTCAGTTTGGTTATGTTATGTTATGTTATGTTAGCGTCAGTTTAGTTATGTTATGTTATGCTATGTTATGTTAGCATCAATTTTGGTTATGTTATGCTAGCGTCAGTTTGGTTATGTTATGTTATGTTATGTTATGTTATGTTAGGTTAGCGTCAGTTTGGTTATGTTATGTTATGTTATGTTAGCGTCAGTTTGGTTATGTTTTGTTATGTTATGTTATGTTATGTTATGTTAGCGTCAGTTTGGTTATGTATGTTATGTTATGTTATGTTAGCGTCAGTTTGGTTATGTTATGTTATGTTATGTTATGTTAGCGTCAGTTTGGTTATGTTATGTTATGTTATGTTATGTTAGGTTTGGTTATGTTAGCGTCAGTTTGGTTTATGTTATGTTATGTTATGTT